GAGATGCAAGAGTACAAGACAAGCAGGACAAAGCATCTCTACGTAAGCAAGTGAGGACGGGCAGGCACAAGGCCAAGCTGGGTGCAGAAACGCTGGTGGTCACAAGGCGGCAACGCCTTGGTGAAGATATCTGCCGTGTTGGCCTCAGAGACCACGCGTCGTACGAGTGCCTGGCCACGCTGCTGCAACTCACGCAGAAGGAAGTAACGAAGCTGGATGTGCTTCGACTTCCCAACCAGTCGGGGCTCCTCACACAACAGGACAGCAGACCTGTTGTCGGCGAACAAGACTGGGGGAGAGCGAGGCCGCTCACCAAGGTCGGTGAGAAGGAAAGACAGCCAGCGAAGCTCCTGAGCGGCCATGGCCGCAGCGTACACCTCTGCCTCACAGCTGGAACCGGAGTCGGACGACGCCCGAGTCGACCGCCACGAAACAGCACCTGTCCCGAGGCTAAAGGAGTACCCCTGTGTAGACCGACGCGTCTCCGCGTCGTCGGCCCACGACGAGTCCGAGTAACCTGTGAGTGTAACTGGCTGCTTCCCTCCAAGGACAAGTCCCATGCCTGATGTACTCGCCACATACTTCGCCACCCTCTTAGCAGCGTACCAGTGGGACGGTCGGTGTCTCCCAGGCGCAACAAAGCGCGCAAGGACGCTAAGAGGGTAAGCTAGGTCTGGGCGAGTACATGTCATCAGGTACATGAGACAACCCACCAGCTCAGGATATGGACCACTGGGCTCAAATGACTCGTCCGAAGGTGGAGCCGTGAGCCCATGATCCACACCAAGAGGGGTGAGCTGTACCTTGGAGAACGGGAAGCGAAACCGCGTGAGGATCTGCTCGACCATATGCGACTGCGTCAGCGTAATGGTGCGAGCTGCCTTGTCCCTAGTGATCTGCAGGCCAAGGTAGTGATGCAGCTCACCAAGGTCAGTGCAAGTGTGTCTCCTCTGCAGTTCCTCCTTCACGGAGGCCAGTGCGTGTCGGTCGGGAGTGGCAAAGACCAGGTCGTCAACGTAAACAAGAACAAAGAACGGGGTCGAGCCACGGCGGACGAACAGTGACGGGTCGGCAGACGACGGAAAGAAGTCAAGCGCTGCAAGGGTCGAGCGAAGTGTGTCGTGCCACTCACGTGGAGCCTGACGCAAGCCGTAGACTGGTCGACGCAGCTGCCACTGGGTCCTAGGTGGGAAAGAGCCAGTGAAGCCAGGCGGGCGACGCAGCCAGATCTGCTCGTGCAGGCTCCCCTGAAGGAACGCGGTGGAAAAGTCTAGAGAGTGCAACTCGTAGTCGCGCTGGGCTGCAATGTGCAGCAACAACCGAAGAGTACTCATCTTCGGGGTGGGAGCGAAGGTCTGGAAGAAGTCCACCCCCGCTCGCTGACTGAAGCCTCTCGCCACATAGCGCGCCTTGAACACTGGTGGTGATCCAGGCGGCCGCTTCACCTTGTAGAGCCATCGGCCACTGACGACGTTCGTCCAGGTGGTGGGACTTGCGTCGACGTAAGTGCCTGTGGACCTATAAGATGCCATCTCTGCCTCCTCAGCTGCTATCCAGTACGAGGCCCAAGGTCCCGAGACCGCCTCAGCGTGAGTGCGAGGGATCGGAATGTCAAGAGCGTCTGGATCCCCCTCAGGGGCAAGCAGCATGGCGCAGAGATGAGGAACAGCGGCCGCAAGGAAACCAAGCTCAAACTGCCTGTCCTCCAGGACCTCCAAGGGAAAGACAGGAGCACCCCCAGAGGACGGAGAACGAGCAGCGCCACTCACCAGGTGAGCGGCGTAGTCAAGGCGGTGGGAAGAGGCAAAGTCAGCGACAGTGGTAACAAGTGCTGAGACAGACGACAAGGGTGCAGTCGGGTGAGTGACCAACGCGGACAAAACACGGGAGACAACAGGACGGGAGGCACGAAGGTAGTCGGACAACGGGTCGTGAAGCACAGTGAGGGACGACTCAGGGGGCTGTGGAAGGACGGGAGGAGGTGGAACACGAGAGCGAAGAACGAGGTGGAACGGACCGTCTGCACGGTAACGGGACCGACGACGCTCAGGGGACACAGCACGACTGAGGGGAGAACGACGAGTCCACTGGGACGAGGAAAGGGACTCAACAGGGGGAACAGGAGGGGACGGTAGGGGACCACGAACAAAGCGTGCAGGTGATGGGTCGGGGAGGTCGCGTAGTCGCAGTCGGTGCTGCTCCGCCTCCTCTGGCGTCTGCTGCGACGGTACCGGCCCCTGCTGCTGCTCCTGTGGCTCCGCCTCTGCCCTCTCCTGCTGCGACTGCAGCTGCACCCGCTGCTGGGGACCGGGACTCCTCCTCTACTCTCTCCTGCTGGGTCTGTAACTGCACCTGCTGCTGCGGGTGGGACTCCTGCTCTACCCTCTCCTGGTGCGGCGGTGACTGCTCCTCTACTCGCTCCTGCCGGGTCTGTAACTGCACCTGCTGCTGCTGCGGTGGGACTCCTGCTCTACCCTCTCCTGGTGCGGCCGTGACTCCTCCTCTACCCTCTCCTGCTGCGGCTGTGACTCCTCCTCTACTCTCTCGTGCTGCTGCTGCTGCTGCTGCTGTGCCCTCTCAAACCGCGCACGCTCCTCCCTCTCCAACTGGAAGAGACGCTGCTCACGGGTCAGGAAACGTACAGTGCGCGGTGTAGGCGCCACAGTGCCAGTGCCTCCAGCTCCAGCACCCCCAGAAACAACACCTCCACCGTCGACACCCCCGGAGCCTCCAGTGCCTCCCGCAGTAGCACCCCCGGGCTCCGCAGAAACCAGCCGCAGAGAAGAACGAGGAGGGAACTGCGGGACGGACGGGAAGCCAGGGGGTGACGCGGGGCGAGGCCGCCGGCTCGAGGCTGCCGTGTCCTCCACGGGAGTGACCTCCACACCCACAACCCCTGCACCCCCAGAGCCGTCACCACCAGCTCCTGCAGCCCCAGTACCCTCACCCTCCGCAACTGCACCTCCCGCACCCTCAAACACGACACGGACTGGACGCTGCGGGGGGGACGACTGCGGAGTGACGTGCGACACACCTGACGGGGCAGGACGCGAAGGGGGGGAGGCTACCGGGGGCGACTGGGGGGGGCTCAAGGGTGAGGAACAGCGGGGGGGAAAAGGCCTCAGTACCTCGGTGGGGGCGACTCCTGTAGTAACAGACAGACTCGTCGAACGAGACGTCCTGAGAAGCGAAGAACTGGTAGGTGGCCGGGTCGTAGAACAACCAGCCGGAGGCGTCCAAAGGGAAACCAAGAAAGACGCAGGCACGGGTGCGCGGAGACAACTTGTTCGCGCCAGGGGCGCGAACGTGAGCCAGAGAGCCCCAGACACGGAAGTCAGCTGCTACGCCCGGAGAACCTGTCCAAAGGGAGACCGGCGTCACCCGTGGCCGTGCGTCACTAGGCCACAGGTTCAGCTGGTGCGCGGCGTAGCGGACTGCCTGGGGCCACAAGAACTGGGGGGCACCGGCATGGCACATGGAGGTCCGGGCAACCTCCATGACCAGGCCGATGCGACGCTCGGCTACCCCGTTCTGCTGCGGCGAGGCTGGTAACGTGTAAGACTGGATAATCCCCCGACCCTGACAGAACGTCTCCAGTCGAGTGGAAGAGAACTCACCACCACGATCCGAGTGTAGACGGAGCCCACACAGGCCCTGGGCGCCACCCCTCGCTAGTAGCCACGGCTCGAGGACGGTAGGCACGTCGGCCTTCCGTCGCAAAGGGAAAACCGTGGTGTAGCGGGAGTAGTCGTCCACCACAATCAGGAAGTAGCGCTCCTGACGTGGGCCAAGGACCGGGGAGGGGCCCCAGACGTCCAAGTGCAGGGTCTGGAAGGGAGACGTGGTGGGGGGGAACGAGGAGGAGTGAGGGGCAGCGCGCTGCCGACCCTCGACGCAAGGAGTGCACGGCGGCGCTGGAGAGCGGGGAAGCGGGGCAAGCGACGCTGGGAGACCTGAGACCAGACGGTGACGTGCCATCCTACTGAGACGTGGGAACGACGGGTGACCTAGACGGTGGTGCCAGAGGACCGACGGGTGGGTGAGGGACCGACAGTCACACGACACAGCGGCTACCTGACCTGACCTGACCAGACCTGACCCAGTGTGGTGGGACCCGGTGTGTAGTGAGTACAGACCAGAGCCCGGCTCCCTGCGAAAGGTGGCCAGAGGGGCCCCAGTGGTACCGACTGTGCAGGAGGCAACTGACTCCTCTAAGGGAAAAGTGGTGACTACTCCGAGGTCGTGGAGGTGGCTGACACCCACCAGGTTCCTAGAGAACGAGGGGGTGTAGTAACCTGTAAGGACCCCAGAGGGAGCAGCCGGACACGGGAGAGTGGTGGTGCTGCGAGCAAACACAGGTCCCACAGAGGGGTCGGCCAAGGCAACAGTGACGGGGGTGCGTAGTGGTGTGAGGTCGGCGCGGTCACGAAAGAAGCTGGACGCCCCAGAGTCGAGTGTGAACGATAGGGACGCAGTCTCGGTGGTCGAACCTGGACAAGCTACGCTAGCAGGGAAAGCACTAGCAACCTCTACAGCACCTAAGCTAGAGAAACAGGAATAGTACGCAAAATCATCAACAATAGAGTCATCGGCATACATCACAGACATAGAACGCACAGCCTCATCTAACTGAGGTGCAGTCATGCTATACAACTGCGGGCCAACAGAACGAGCCAGTGAGGCCCAATCGGGGACAGTGCGGGTGGGGCCAAACTGCGCACGGTAGCGGTCAGTGAGCTGTGCAAAGCACTGACCCGGGGGGTGGAAGCTGCCACAAGGGTAGCCTCCACGCGGCCCAGTCAGCACCCTATACTGGCAGGGGGGGTGCTGGGCTGGACCACGCGACGTCCAGCTGGGCGGGCCGCTGCTGCTGACAGAGCTCCCGGGTCCAGGGGACCTCCACTGCTGCTGCGGCGTCTGCTGGCGCTGGCCCTGGAACTGCTGCTGCCGCTAGCTGCTGTGGCTGCTGCTGGTGAGGCTGCTGCTGCTGGGGGGCCCCACTACCTCCACCTCCACTGCCTCCTCCTCCGCCCTCCTCCACCACTCCCACCCCCTCCACCTCCTCCACCACCACCCCCTACGCCACCTCCACCACCGCCCCCTCCGCCACCCCCACCACCGCCCCCTCCGCCACCCCCACCACTGCCACCACCTCCTCCCTTCTTACCCCCCTTCTTGCCCCCTTTGTTGCCAAGGGCAACGGCTGCCACCTCTGGTACAGTGGCAACAGACGCCGAATCGACAGGGGAAGCTAGGAAGGACGGAGCACATCCCTCAAAGATGGGGGGGAGGGCAGTACCGGAGGCAGCAGCAAGGGAACGGGCAAGGTCCTCAACAGCAGTGAGCCTCTTCTCAAAGAGGTCAATGGTGAGGGACATGGGGTTAACAGTGAGAAAGTGGTCACGGGCTGTAGCAAAACGGTCAGGGAGGCGGGTGGACAGCAGGTTCAGTGTCATCCACATCGGGGGGGGGTTGGCGGCAAGTAGGGCATCATCAGGGGCAGCACAACGGAGCTGGGCATCAAGCGAGCGCAAGTGCAGCACAAGGTCAGGGACGCGGTGAAACGAGGGCAGGTCAGGAAATAGGAAGGGCAGTACAAGCCGACCGAGGGAAGCAGTGGTTGGGGTGGAATAACGTTTGACGACAGCATCAAACAGGCCCTTGGCCGTCACCTCCTGCTCGAAGTGCTGCTGCTCTGTCAGGGGCAGGAGATCGGTGATGGCGAGCACTGTGGCGTCGTCCCGCGCCGCCCACCGGCTGGCCGCCAGCTGCAGCTTCTCAAAGCGAGCTTCCTCTTCGTCCGACGGGGAGGAACCTAAGGGGTCGGGTTCCTTCGGGGCTACGAGTTTGCCCGTGGCATGGTCCAGAAGGCGAACGTCGTTCTCGATCCTACTCCCTAGGAAAATCTTGAGTTTGCGGAGCCATCCTGGGAAGTCTACCCGGCCTACCCTCAGGATCAAACGTGAGAATACGAGAAGTGGCCATGGGAGGAGGCCCTGGCGCGAGGGCAATGAACGGGCACGCTCGGGTGGGGTCTAGTACGTTTGAGAGCGGTACCAGGTGGTTCAGTGAGGTGGATAGCGGCTGGTTACTGGTGTGGTGACGGGAACGGGTGGGGCAGCAGCTCTGGCTGGTATAGGTGGGGCAGTGGGTGCAGTTCTGTGCGGTGCTGCGTGGTTCTGTGCAGTTCTGCCCTGTTCAGTGCGGTGCTGCACGGTTCTGTGCGAGGGAGAGTACCGGGTGGGGTAGCAGCTCTGGCTAGTGTGGGTGGGTCAGCAGGTAAGGTTCTGGGCGGCGCCGCACGATTCTGTGCTGTTCTGCGCAGTTCTGTGCGGTTCTGCCCGGTTTCTGCGCGGTTCTGCACGGTTCAGTGCGGTTCTGCCCGGTTCTGCGCGGTTCTGCACGGTTCAGTGCGGTGGAGAGTACGGGGTGGGGTAGCAGCTCTGGCTGGTGCGGATGGGTCAGCAGGTAAGGTTCTGGGCGGTGTCGCACGGTTTTGTGCGTTTCTACGCGGTGCTGTACGGTTCTGGGCGGGGGAGAGTAACTGGTGGGGCGGCTGGGACGGGTGGTACAGCGGGCACCAGGTGGGTCAGCGGGGACGGGTGAGACGGTACCGCAGCTGGCGGGCTGTGCGTGCGTGCGGCTATTGCTGCGCGTGCGTGCAGCTATGGCCGCGCGTGCATGCTGCCAATGCCGTGCGTGCGTGCTCCTAATGCCGCGCGTGCGTACGGCTAATGCTGCACGTGCGTGCGGCTAATGCTGCGCGTGCGCGCGGTCGCATGTGCGGCTACGACTGCACGTGCGCATGGGCCTGCTGCGCGCTAGCGGGCTGGCGAGCTACGCACGGGGCAGAAAACGGGTGAGGCGCGGGTGAAAAAAAAAACGGGTGACGCTCTGGGCTAAACGGATGACGCGCTCAGGGCACTACGGGTGACGCGCGAGCTAAGGGGGGGGTAGCAGGGCGCTTCGGGTATTAAGTGGCTACGTTCCTAGGTCGGGGCACGGGGCGGTGGGCCCATAGGGTCGACTAGCTCTATACCATGTCGAGACTAGAACGGGTGAAAAGATTGACTAAGGGAAACGAGATACAAGAGGATATAGCTAACCCTAGGAATATGAAATGGTACACCTAGACTAACAAAAACTAAACATATAAATATATGTTGACACTCTCGAGAAAGAAAGTAGCGTAGAGCGATGTGCTTCGTTCTGTGCTCCAGTCTGTGCTCCTGACACAAGGCAATCATGGCCTTGTTGTCGACGTACAGCACTGGAGGAGAACGAGGCGGCTCTCCATGGTCGGTCAGCAGGTAGGTGAGCCAGCGTAACTCCTGAGCATCCATGGCCCCTGCGTAGATCTCAGCCTCACAACTGGAGCTGAGAACAGAAGACGAGCGGGTAGACCGCCAAGAAACAGAGCCGGAGCCAAGGCTGAAGGTGTAACCCTGTGACCACCGCTGCGTAGCCAAGTCGTCAGCCCAAGAAGCGTCTGCGTGACCAGTGAGGACAACTGGACCTCGCCCTCCAAGCACGAGCCCCATGCCCGACGTACTGCACAAGTAGCGCAACACCCTCTTAGCAGCATCCATGTGCTCCTTCCTGTGTCGGCCAGGAGCGACATAGCGTGCTAGGATGCTAAGAGGGTAGGCTAGGTCAGGTCGAGTGCAGGTCATCAGGTATATGAGGCAGCTCACAAGCTCTGGATACGGGCCACTCGGCTCTACAGACTCGTCCGAAGGTGGAGCTGAGAGCGAGTGACCGGTAGGCAGAGGAGTGGACTGTGGCGAGGAGTACGTGAAGCGGAAGCGCTGAAGGACCTGCTGCACCATGTGTGACTGAGTCAAGGTAATGGTGCGCTGTGCTCTGTCCCGGGTGATCCGCAAGCCAAGATAGCTTGTCAGCTCACCCAGGTCTGTGCACGTGTGTCTCTTCTGCAGCTCCGACTTCACGTGGGCGAGTGCCTCAGTGTCAGCAGTAGCAAAGACCAAGTCGTCTACGTACACGAGAACGTAGAACGGCGGCAGAGTGGTGTCGGTGCGTAGAAACAGCGACGGGTCAGCAGTAGAAGGAGCAAACCCAAGAGCAGCAAGAGTCGTCCTGAGTGTGTCGTGCCACTCACGGGGTGCCTGGCGGAGACCGTAGACTGGCCGCCGGAGGCTCCACTGGGTACCAGGAGGAAACGACCCAGTGAAGCCAGGTGGGCGGCGCAGCCAGATCTCCTCGTGCAGGCTGCCCTGTAGGAAAGCAGTGCTGAAGTCAAGAGAGTGGAGCTCGTAGTCACGCTGAGCGGCGACGTGCAGCAGAACCCGAAGAGTGGTCATCTTCGGGGTAGGGGAGAAGGTCTGGAAGAATTCAACTCCCTCATGCTGACTGAAGCCTCGTGCAACGTAACGCGCCCTGAAGACAGGCGGAGAACCCGGCGGCCGCTTCACCCTGAAAATCCACATGCCAATGACGATGTTCGCCCCAGGCGGGGGAACCTCGTCGACATAGGTGCCTGTGGACTTCCAGGAAGCCATCTCTGCATCCATGGCTGACTGCCAATGAGAGGAGTAGGGACCCGTAATCGACTCTGCGTAAGAGCGCGGGGTCGAGATGTCTGGTGCATCCGGGTCTCCCTCAGGGGCAATCAGCATGGACACGAGATGAGGTAAAGCAGCGGCAAAGCACTCAAACTCCTCCTGTCTGTCCTCAAGGACGTCCGTGCCAAGAGCACACTCACCCTCGACGGACGGAGGACAGACAGACTCAGACTCAGCAACAAGGCTAGCGGCGTAGTCTAGACGACAGGCGGCAGCAAAGTCAACAAGCTTAGCAACTAGAGCAGACGCAGCAGTGGACTCAAAGGAAGGGTCAGTGACAACAGTAGCGAGGAAACGCGTGACAGTAGGACTGGCAGCACGAAGGGAGTCAGACTCCGGGTCCGGACCGTCAGGAAGAGAGGACGCAGGAGGAGACGGCAGAGGGACACGCTGTGGAGCAGTGGAAGGACGCAGAGTCATATAGTGAGTGCCAGGGACAGGAGGAGGACGCTCACGCGGAACACGACGACCAGTGCGGACAGCGCGGACCGGCGACTCTGGACGAGACTCAGGCGACGCAGGACGAGACTCGGGCTCACGACGCTCCGTAAGACCTCTAGTCGGCCCAGAGTAAGGAGAAGGACTAGGCAGTGGAGAGGCTGGCTGTAACTGTGACTGCGACTAGACAGGCGGTGGACTCAGTAGGGGAGGAGTAGGACCAGTAGAAGGCGGGAGGCCAAGAACCTGCTGAAGGAGCAGAACGTAGTACGGCTGCGGCCGCGCAGCACCTCCTGAACCAGCAGAGACAGCACCAGCACCCTCAGCTCCAGGGTCTCCAGCGACAACGCCCGCAGCACCACCAGCTCCAGTACCTCCAGCAGCTCCAGCTCCAGCAGCACCTCCAGCAGCAGACGCTCCAGCACCTCCAGCTCCAACTCCCGCAGTAGCTCCAGTCCCAGCAGCTCCAGTACCTCCAGTACGAGCACCTCCAGGACCAGCGGCTCCAGCAGCTCCAGCACCAGCAGCACCTCCAGCAGCTCCAACACCAGCAGCACCTCCAGCAGCTCCAGCACCAGCAGCACCTCCAGCAGCTCCAGCACCAGCAGCACCTCCAGTAGCAGGCCCCCCCAGCTCCAGCACCACGGCTACAGCGCCGAGCGTACCACTCACGAAGCTGCCGTGGAGAGAGGGGCTCCCGCCGCGACGGGACACTCGGAGGACCTCCAGTCTCAGCACCCCCAGACACAGCACCCCCAGACTCAGCAACCCCAGGCTCAGCACCCCCAGGCTCAGCACCCCCAGACTCAGCAACCCCAGGCTCAGCACCCCCAGGCTCAGCACCCCCAGACCTGGCACCCGCAAGCTCAGCACCCCTAGCAGCACCGGAGTCACCAGCTACCTCAACAGGCTCGACTGCGTCTACCTGAGACACACCTGAGGGGGCAGGACCCTGAGGGGGGAGGGGGTCTACCGAAGGAGTACCTGGCGCGAGGAAGAGCGGCGGGGGGGGGGAGGGGGGCAGTGCGGTAGGGGAAGAGACGGTAGTAAGGAACCGACTCGTCAAACGTGACGTCCTGAGAGGACAGAACACGGCGCGAGGTCGGGTGGTTAAACTGCCAACCAGGCGCGTCAGGGGGGAAGCCAAGGAAGACGCAGGGAACAGCACGGGAGGACAGCTTGTCCGCAGACAAGTCGCGGACGAAAGCTCGAGATCCCCAGACACGGAACGTAGACGCATCGCCAACCTTCCCCGTCCACCGCAGAGTGGGGGTGGTCTCCGGCATGGAGACCCGGGGCTAGAGGTTGATTTGATGCGCCGCGTACTGAACTGCGAACGGCCACAGAAAATGGGGAGCAGTCGCATGGATCATGGACGTACGAGCCACATCCATGACCATGCCAATGCGGCGCTCAGCAATCCCATTTTGCTGTGGAGAGGCCGGACGCGTGAACGTCTGGCGGATGCCCTCCGCCCGACAGAAAGCTCGCAGAAGGTCGGAGGAAAACTCTCCACCTCTGTCTGAGTGCAGACGCAGAACAGGGAAGTCCGAGCCGAAACCTTCTCTGAGCTGGAGACGAGCAGCGCGGATCCAGTCGATCAACACCTCAGTGACCTCACCCTTGCGGCGCAAGGGGAAGACCGTGGTGTAACGCGAGTAGTCGTCAACAACTAGCAGGAAGTAACGCTCGTGACTCTGTCCACGGACGCGGGCTGGGCCCCACACGTCCATGTGAAGAGTCTGCAGGGGAGCCTCTGTCGGAGGAAACTCGGAGGAGTGAGGGGCGGCGCGCTGCCGGCCCTCGACGCAGGGAACGCAGGTAGGGGCAGGCCCCGGAGGAAGGGGAGGGAGGGACTCAGGGAGACCTGAGACAAGGACACAGGAGGCCATGCCTCGTAGACGAGGCAGGGAGGGGTGACCAAGGCGGTGGTGCCAAAGGAGAGTCTCGTGAGACAGGAGGCGA